GAAATTCCATCTTACACAGAATGGCTAAGATCAAAAACACCATCAAAAAGGATTTTAGTGAGGGGAGACTCGAGAGATGACTCAGTGAGCAAAGAACTTGATTGCAAGCGCAGAGACTCGAGTACAGAGCTCCAGCAAGCACATCAAAGCCGGCATAGGAGCTGGTGTCCGGAAACTTGGACCTGATGGGAGGGGCAGAGACAGGTCCTGCTAAGAGGCTTCTTGCCAGCCAGCCTAGCTGAAACAGTGTGCAGGAGACACCTTGTCTCCAAGAATAAAACGAAGAAGGATAGAGTCCTCACCAGCGAACCTTGGGGAAGAGATCTCACTCTGCAGGTTGCGCACGCAAACAGCTCAAAAGAACTGTGGGATCTGCATAGAACTTTCATTTGGTTTGTTTTACTTTTGAGTTGGGTTCTCACGATGCATCCCATACTCACCTGGAGCTCACTATGTAGCGCAGACAGTCATCAACCTTGGGGAATCTTCCAAGTGCTGACATTAAAGACATGAACCACCACCACAGTCAGAACTTTCTGTTTTAGTAAATCAGAATGAGCATCTTATAGAGGAGACTAGAATCTATCTGAATGTATTACATACATGAAGAAAATTATCATTGTTTTTATTAAGCATTTGTTTTCAGATCAATGCCACCTTAAAATAAATACTTCACAAAAACTCTGTGTGTGTGTGTGTGCGTGTGTGTGTGCGTGTGTGTGTGTTAGAGATCAAATCCAATGCCTTGTGTATGTTTTTTTCTTTTTTTTTGGTTTTTGGAGACAGGGTTTCTCTGTAACTTTGGAGCCTGTCCTGGAACTAGCTCTTGTAGACCAGGCTGGCCACAAACTCACAGAGATCCACCTGCCTCTGCCTCCAGAGTGCTGGGATTAAAGGCGTGTGCCACCGCCCCCTGGCGCCTTGTGTATGTTATGCATACAAAACTTCAACTGTAGTTCAGAAGACCCGTTCTATACTGTGGCGATGGTGAGAAGAGTCCGGACTCACTTTTTTTGATGGATCTCCTATTCTCTCTCGCTTGTCCTTACATTTTCAAATTCTTTATAAGGAACAGGGATTATTTATCAAATATGTTTAGAATTTATTGAAAGTTTGGACTTGTGAGATGACTCAGTGGGTAAAGGGGCTTGCCACCAAGCCCGATAACCTGAGTTTGATCTCTGAACCCACAAAAGATGGGTGTGTAAGTGGGAAGAAGTAGGAGGAGGAGGAGGAGGAGGAGGAGGAGGAGGAGGAATAATACAAGGAGTTAGTTCTATTTCTTGGAAGGAACCTAGTACGAATATTTTCAGTCCTGACAGCGATCTATGAATCTCCCTGTCTCCTGTGATTGAAGATCCACACATGATCATGTCTTTCTAGGAAGAGAGAAAAAGCAAATCTTCACGACTCTTCTGTTTCCATGGAGAAAAAATTGATAGTCAACACTTCTCCCTGGACACCACTCCTTCTTAACCCAACCTCTACTTTGCGCCCCAGAGAGGTCTCTTTTCATGCCATCATTTATTTCTGGGTCTTCTTACCTTCAGTTACCTTTGCAATGACACCTTATCTTTGAAAATGTCCCATTGTCCTATTCCCGGAGATTTGGGACTGAATCAGAGGCACATTCAGTTGTCCTTACTACACCATCCCCTCCTGTCCTCTTAGCATTCCTAAAGTCACATTGAACTCCCAAACCAGCTTCTGTGCCAGTGCCAACTCCCTGGTAAGATGATTCCCATTGGTTTACATTTCTGCTTAACATTGGTGGCTTTATTGGTCACCCACACAAAACGGTTTATGGTGAAAGGTCTCTTTTTTCTAGATTCTAATTAAGCATTGACTACTGTTAAGAAATGTTTGTATTATTTTAAGATGAGGAAGAAAAAGTTTGCCAGTGTTCGGCTTTTGATGATTACCTTATTGGTAAGCTTTATAAAATGGAGGCGAAAAAAAACCTAGAGGAAAAAAATTTAATAGAAATTTGAAAACATGGATCAATATTTTATACAACGGCTCCCAAATAGGTGAATTCTTTCAGAAAACTGAAACCGCTGCTGGCCAGTGTTGCTCAGATTTAATTTATGAGAAGTGGTTCCACTGAGAACAGTGGCTTCTGCTTTGTGCGATTAAGGAATCAGTGTAGGGATTCCTAGGGCTGGTAGATGCTTACAAGTTAGGGAAGAGGTACTCGACAAAACTTCAGACTAGTAAGGTCCAACTCTACTGGACTGGGTACAGAGCAAACCTGTTCTTGTTTGTGTTTTCTTATAGCAGAATTACAAAAACACATTTGGTTTTTTAAAAAGCATTTATTTCTTCTATGTACCTATCTATGTGTGTCTGTGTGAATTTATGGGCACCACATGTCTATAGATGCCCAGAGAGGCCAGGCGGGTGTTGGATTTCCTGGAACTAGAATTACAGGCCTTTGTGAACTATCTGATATGGGTGCTGGAGCCAAACCAGGGTTCTCTGCAAAAGCAGTTGTTGTGGAATATTACTTTGACTAGACAAAGATGTGTTGCATTTGTTTATACTGTGGAATATTGCTTTAACTGTGTAAAGGCGTGTTACTTTTGTTTATGCTGTATTTGTTTAACAATGTAAGGATATAACTATGTGAAGATGTGCTGTATTTGTTCTACCTTGCCTCCCTAAGGCACCTGATTGATCTAATAAAGAGCTGACTGGCCAATAGCTAGGTAGTGAAAGGCTAGGCAGGGCTGGCAGGCAGAGAGAATAAGTAGGAGGAGAAATCTAGACTGGGGAGAACAAAGAGAAAGAAAGGGACACACCAGGGCCAGAAGCCAGCCGTGTGAAGCAGTGAAGGAAGAGATACAGAGGAAAGAAAAGTAAAAAGTCCTAAGACAAAAGATAGATAAAGAGAAACAGGCTAAATTGAAACAAGGCCAGGCATTCAGAAGTAATAGTAAGTCTCTGTGTCATGACTTGGGAGCTGGTTGGTGGCCCTAAAGAAAAAACCTGGTAGAAACAGTAAGCCCATGAACCAACTCTTCAGCCCATGCCTTCCAGATCCTGGATACAGGTGTGTACTACCTGTCTGGCCTCTGTTAAGGGATTTCAATTCTTCTGTTAGCTTTTTTGTTTGTTTCTTTTGCTTTTTTGAGACAGGGTTTCTCTGTGCAATGGCCCTAGCTGTCCTGGAACTCACTCTGCAGACCAGGCTGACCTCGAACTCACAGAGATCCTCCTGCCTCTGTGTCCTGAGTGCTGGGATTAAAGGCATGTGCCACCACTGTCCCACTTTGATTCATTAAATACTCTGAGAATCAAAGCGGATCACAGTTTTTTTTTCTTTGCTAGTTATTTAATTTTTTTCCCTAGGGACTACAGTATAATTTAAATCTCTTTATTGTTGTATCTCTCACATAATTTTACAAAAAGTATGTATGAATTAATTTATTATTATTATTATTAGTTTTAATTTTTTGAGACAGGGTTTCTCTGTAGCTTTGGAGCCTGTCCTGGAACTCACTCTTATAGACCAGGCTGGCCTTGAACTCACAGAGATCTGCCTGCCTCTGCTTCCTGAATGCTGGGATTAAAGGCGTGCACCACCATGGCCCAGCTACAAAAAGTATTTAATATCAGAGAACAGTCTATAAAATCATAAAATTTGGTATTTTATGGTAGCAGAATTGTTATGATTCAGCCACAGCATGGCTGACACTTCCAGGTTCCAGGGCCATGTATGTGCGGACAAGCCCTCAGGCAGAAGTGCCCAATGGCCCCGGGGATCTTAGAGGACCCTGCATGACCCACGTGCAGTGCAGCATGGTTGCATCATCTACATCTGACACAACCGTGTGAGCCCTTGTGCGCATGCGTGAGCTATGTCATCTGCATATGACATAACTATGCCATCCCCTGTGCACATCGCTGGGCAGCCTTGGGTTCTCTCTCTCTCTCTCTTTCTCTCTCCCTCCCTCCCTCTCCCTCCCTCTCCTCCCTCCTCCTCCCCCTCCCCCGATACATCGACCTCACCAGGTCTGTATCCCCCTCAATAAACTCCTAAGCGGTTTTGTTGTGTGTTCCGTGTTTCCTTCTCACTCACACCAGGTAATTTCAAGAATTGTCACTTCATTTTTATAATTAGAAAAAAAAACCTTCAATGAAATGAATCAGTGTGGATAAAGTCAGTGATAGAGATGTTAAAAATTCATCTCTTCCCTTCACAATGAATTATAAATGTTCTTAACATCAGGCAATTCAACTTAAATGAATCTTAAATCAGGCAATTTTTCTCTACATAACTGATGAGAGAGAGAGAGAGAGAGAGAGAGAGAGAGAGAGAGAGAGAGAGAACATTCCTAAAAGATAGTTCATAAATCCCTAAGATGCTTGCAGCTGGGTGTCATTTTCTACCCCACATAGTTTCTCACAGATGCAAGAGTATACCCATAGGCCAAATTATATGTTTTTTTTTTAAAATATTTATTCATTTATTATGCATTCAATATCTGCCTACATATGTGCCTGCAGGCCAGAGAGGGCACCAGATCTCATTACAGATGGTTGTGAGCCACCATATGGTTGCTGGGAATTGAACTCAAGACCTTTGGAAGAGCAGGCAATGCTCTTAACCACTGAGCCATCTCTCCAGCCCCCCAAATTATATGTTTTAGAGACAAGGTCTTAGTGTGTAGCCCTTGCTTGTCTAGAACTTGTTATGTAGACCAGGTTAGGTTCAAACTCAGAGAAATCCACCTGCCTTTGCCTGCTGGGTGCTGGGATTAAAGGCGTGCACTACTATGCCTGGTTTTAACCACTATTATCCCACTATTATTTTAACACCCATCACTCCCCAGTTACAGGAAAGGATTTATTACTGCTTCAAATATTGATATTTTGAGCAGAAAGATATCAGAATTGTTTATTTCTTTTTGCACACGGCACAAAGGAGGTTGTTAATTGGTAAGTTCTTAAATTCCACTCTTGGAGTGGCGTGGCTTCTTGTGTAAGGTATCCTGGGTTTAGAGCTTAGGATGTTTCTCGTATCTCTCGTATTTATGAATAGTCACACAGCCATGATAGGACATTGTCTTGGGCATTACAGTGACCCCCGAGATGATATTTGTTTCAGGATCATAACAGAGAATAGTATTTATGGCTTCTCCATTTTCTTGTCTTCCACCCAGGATATAGATCTTACCATTACACACAGCCATGCCACAATTTTCCCGTGGACTGAATGTGTCCTGTACGTGCATCCAGTGGTCTTCAGCTGGGTCATAACAGTACACCGCCTTGGTCATTCCACCAGCAACATAGATGAGGTTGTTCAGAGAGACAGCTGTTATGTACCTCTTGGCGATTGGGAAAGAAGCACGAAGGAGCCAAGCATTAATTTCTGGATCATAAGACTGGACCTTATCCGAATAAGAGCTATCATCAGGTCCTCCACCTATCACAAATAACTTTCTCATACAGCTTGTCACTGCAGGAGAACTCACTGCTTCCTTCAGCGGCGCAACTTCTGTCCACTGGTTTGAAAATGAATCGTAGTACTCTACGCTGCTAAGCCTCTTTTGCCCATCGTAGCCTCCGACAACATACACTTTCCCGAGCAGGACTGCCATTTTGTGGTGCCACCTGCCTTTGTTTAGAGGAGCAACCCTGGTCCAGAGATTTAGCTGTGAGTTGTACATCCAGACATCATGGCTATTGATTCTTCCACCTGAGACAAGAATATCATTTTTCAGGGCACAGACAGCATAGGCTGACTTGGTGAACTCTGGAATCTTAGCCAGGGACTTCCATTCTCCTGTTACTGGGTCATAGCACTCGGTGTATGGGAGATTAAATCCTCCCGCTTGTTCACAGCCTCCGACCATGACGATCACTTCTGAATAGCCAGTAGACCTACGGGGCCTAGTTCTCGGAGATACGATTTCATTGCCAAGTATATGGTACCTTCTTGCTTCCCGTAGCAGCTGGTAACAGTCATGGGAATTTTGGATCAGCTGGTTTTCCTCAACAGTCTCAACAAAGTAGTTGGGATGCAAAAGAGGGAGTCTTACATGGCTCAGGAGCTCAGGCAAGAACTGCCTTCGATGGTCAACATCTTCATAGATCCAGCGCATGACCGCTTCAAAAACTATCTCCTCCTTGCTAACAATAAGCTCATCGCGACAGATATAATCAATAAGTCCATCTTTGTTAAGCTCAAGAAATTCTTCATGCTGGTACACATCTTCAAAAGTTTGTAATGCAAAGGTCTGACATTTTGCGAAGAGTGTTTGGAGTGAGTGGGTGTCGGCGAAGCGCTGGATTCCTATGCAATTGCAAGGATCGAGCTGTTCCTCTAGAAAATGGACACATTCATCACAGAGACTGTTGACCTGAAAGAGGCTGGATGTTTCGACGAGATACTGGACATTCTCTGCTGTGATCTTCACCCTTCCAGTATACACGTATTGCAAAAAACTGTCCATAGCTTCAGCTAAGATGCCTTTGATCTCAACCAGCATTTCGCGGCTCTCCTTGAGGCCGTTACAGAACATGGCCCTGAAATAGTCGCTGCAGGCCGAGAGGACAGCGCGATGGCACGGAAACTTCTCTCCTTCTACGCAGATGATAACATCTGTGAATATGTGATTGTCTCGGAAGTCCTTAAATATCCGGAGTTCATTCTCAGCATGGGCTGACCCTAAAGAAAAGTCAAAATACTTGTGACCTAGCAGAGATTTTGGGTCCATGTTTCACAAACTGTCTGCTTAGCTCTTGGGAAATCCCATGGCACAAGCTCCTCTGGGTCAAATCTGCTCTGGTCTGCCTCTCAGTATTAGTCCCATTGTTGCATCAGCTGACTATGTAATTATTGAGCAACGATGGCTGCTAGAGAATTTTAGCATTGGCTTGACCAAGGCCCTAGGCAAAAACACCTGTGTTGTTTAAATTTCCACACAAGCTGGGTCCAGCCTGCAAATGCAGTGCCCAACCCGGACAATCTTCACTTTGGGTGTCTAGGGCTTGGGGCGGGAACATTGGGAACTAAGAAGTAGAGCCGGCCGAGAAGGAAGCCG